CTGCAACCATCCCAAATTTTGCTGCAGCTCCACTCCCAGCCCTGCACCGCCATCCAATTCAGCCCCAGCTTTTCCCAGTGCTTGGGTGGAGGGGGGGCGTTGAATTGGGGCTGTGCCAGGTGACGGCACGGGGCTGGGAATGGAGCTGCAGTGAAATTTGGAGTGGTTACAGCCTCCTCCCAGCGCTGTCAGAGCCTGCTCTGAACTCAGCCCCTGGCTAGAAGAGCTGTGCAGCACCATCTCTGGTTCCACCCCGCAGCTGCCACCTGCCCCACGCCACACAGATCTGGGGGCACATGGCCACCCCTCTCCCTCCTGGGGTGCAAGCAGTGGTGAGAGCCACCCCCACCCCATGAGCTGTACCTTCATCCCATGCTCCCCTTCCACCCCGGCTGGGCCGCGCCTGCCCCTGCCCCCTCCCTCACCATGGGGGCGTTGATCTGCCCCACCACGCCCCTTCCCTTCCAATTTACCAGCTGAAGGCAGCTCTCCATGCTGCCGGCTCTGCTCTGTGCTGCGCTGCAGCTGCAAGCAGCACAGGCATTTATCGACCAAATTATCAACCCCATATGGCTGATATCCGATACAGACAATTTTCTTCATATTGGTACCAATCCGATATCAAACCAATGTATCAGTGCACATCTAGTATTTTCCTCCTCAACAAGTACAGGGGCTATCATAAAGATACAGGCTCTCCATAATTATCTTTAAATACCTTAGCATTACAGTAACCATCAGTTGGAAGGGATCTTGCAAATCACCTAATCGAACCCCTACATGCAAGAGTTGCTGTTCCTAAACCATCTCAGACAGATGCCCATCTAGCGTCTTCTCAGAAACCTCCAAATGAAGGAGATCCCACCACTCCCCTTGACAGCTTACTAGGCACCTTATTTTTACACAGAGACTTTCATCCTTGTTTAAAGAGTATACACTAATTAATGCATTCAGAAAAGATTATAGGGCTGCCCCGTTTTAGAACCTACATCAAACTTATTTCAGTCCCTCTTTGAAAGCTTTACATGTCTTTTTCTTGAGGCAACTAGATATAATCTGGATATATAAGTGGAAGATGTTAACTCCCAGACTACTTCTGGCTATGTGCGGTAGCTATCCTGATGAATCATTAATTTGCTTAGCCACCCTGTCCATAAATTTGGTTTTTACTTCAAGGACTTGATCTCTGAAGAGGGTAAATTAGTTTCTACTCATCTGATAGGTTATTGCTTCCTTAAGCAAGAGGGAACAGATGGTGCCACTCTCCTTGCATGTACTATTGTGCTGTCCAATGATAAGGTTTCAGTACCCTATGCAGAGGGCTCAGCTGCTGATTTTGCCTGATTCCTTCCATGTTGATTCTTAGAATGAATCAACCTTTCCCTGAGGCTTCTTTCTGATGAGCAAAGATAAAAGTGAGAGAGACAAACTGCCTCTTGGCTCACAACCATGGAACATCTATCAGAGTGACAGGAATAATATTTCCTTCTTTTTTCACCATATCATGGTTTCATGAACAAATTATTCCTGTATCATCACTGAGAAGCAAAATTGAGCAAAATCCATCAAAATTGAGCAAAATCCATCAAAATTATGTATTTTATATATATATAAAAAAAAATTAAGAGTAAAATATTTCTAAGAATGTTCAGCATATAAATTTGCTGAGTAAACAATCAATGGAGCACTTCCGCTATCATCCATCCTGCCACAGAGAGAGAGAATGTTCTGTGATGTACACTCCTCAAGACCCCAACACACAAAAACATTAAGACTGGAGCACAGATGGAGTTGCACTTCTGAGAGAAAACATCCCCTTTAAAATCTTCAGTAGTGTTATTTGTATTATGAAAAAATAGTGATAAAATTAGAAACACCAAACTTGGCAATTTCCACCTCTCCCCCTCCCCAGAACATCTTTCTTCTCATTCTGTTCTTTCACTCCGGACAGCATGATTTGTCAGGCCCTGCACACAAAGAACTGAATTATAAGACTATGTCTGCTTCTGAAGATCATGACTGATAGAAGTGAGAAATACCCAGGCACACATCACCTGGGATTTCTCTTCAATTCAGGTCAAATTCTGCTGACACTGTATTAGTGACAGTTTGCTGCTGAACTGAAAAAGCGAAAAATCAGGGTTGTTTTTAAAGCTGCTGAATTCTTCAGTCTTAGTTTCAATTTTAAAATAAGGCATCTAGACTCTCCTTGTGGAAAAAGCTTTCTGTATTAAAAGTATACTGGGGCTTTTTCTCATCTGTATCCTGAGAAATAAACAACAGCATCCTAACTGCAATATCTATTAACTAACACTGATCGTTTTGCATTGCTGATGATTTTAGCTAAAACATTATATAGATGCTCTCACACAGATTTATATGGACATGACATTAGTAATTTTATGTCACAACATTAAAAAAGGTTCCCAACATAATTAAGGAATACTTTATGCAAGTAAATACTAGTATATTTTATCATTTTTGTTTTTAAAAAAAATCTACTACTGTCTTTAGAAACTGGGCTTAGAGCAATGTTTTGTTTTTTGCACTGGACTGTCAAGAAAAGAAAAGCATTGGGACAAAATGCAGCCGGAATTTTGTATGAATTTTTTGGTGGAGCTACAGTAGAGGTGGTCAAAGACAATAAGCTAACCAATATTTGACAGTTTCTTGTGTTTTCAAATGATCTCTGGCATTTAAAAAAAAAGTCTCTGGTTCATTATTTAACAGCCAAGAAAAACATAACAGCTTTATCACCATCCTGCGTTTGGTGTGAAATTCCCAGACTCCACCACAATTCCCTACAGATTTGTATTTTCCTTGATCATGACTTAACAAGCACACTAAATAGGAACCAGTACCCATGATGCTTGCTGGCAGCAAGGAAAACAAAATCTTTGTTCAAAACATACCTCCAATTCGGGTTGATTTCTAAAAATCGAGAAACCCCAGTTTGTGCAGCAGTCACATCAATATGAACAGAGACATCTACAAGAGAAACAATACCATTTCCAAATAGTTACTGCAACGTTAGGTGAGACTGCACAGTGTCCCCTGTGCTCCCCCTTGAACTGCACAGACAGGGCTTCCCCTTCCCCCTCCACACCCCTCAGTCTCCCTGTGCTCCCCCACCAAATGACCCATTCTTTCCCAGGGCAGGCAACAGCTCAGTTCCAGCTTTGTCTAGAATTCAAGTAAATATGGCAACTATTGCAAAATAAGAAACAAACCTAATGTTTATAGAAAACATGTAGCAGAAAAATGTAAAAACTGAGCTCTTTTGTACCAGTCTTACATACCTGCTGTTGAAGGCACAAACTCATGTAATTTCTGTATTGCTACTCCTCCAGGGTAGTTGAAATGTGAAACATATAATGATGCTCCTGAATAAGCACAATTAACTAGAAGATGTGTTATAACAAACAGAGATCCTAGTTTATAAAGACAGGATTTCTTGTAGTTATTCAGACTGCAAAGGAGAAAAAGATAAACAAAGATTAGCTCTTGATCTTGCCTGCCTTCACATTCTAGATATGTTAGGTTAAATACTGGGACAAAAATGCTTTGAAAAGCAGATGGTTTCACTGTTAGACAAAAGAAAGAAAGGGGATTTCTGCAAATTTTATGAATAAACTAATTCTAACTGAATGTATTTGTTTCCAACATTTCTAAAGGAATTATCTTTACAACAATTCATAGTAACAACAAGCAATACAATATCCATATTATTAAACACTTTCATATTTTAAACCTTAGCTATAGAAATAAATATCCAAACTGCTTTGGAAAATTGTAATCTGTAAAACTATATTCAGTTTTTCCATGTTAACTCCGTAATTAATGCTAATGTGTGTATTAGACTCATTAAGTAGTCCTCTGAGGAAAGCAATGTTAATAATACAATAATACACTAGAATAAATCATTTTTTCCTCTAGTGGGTGAAGTAAACTGAATTATAACTGTGCTAGGAGTGCAATCTGTTGGGGATACCTGCTTAAAATGTTCATTAATTGGGATCATCAAGTAAAGCAAAAATGTGATATTTGTCCAGCATATAGAATAAGCTCTCTTGGCAGACCATTTTAAGGACAGCCATTGTACTTACAATGGTCTAGCACTTTCAGTTTTAACTGACATCTTAGCTTAAATGCCACTATAGTTAGTTAAAGTTATAGTTATATATCTGATTACAAAGGTAACAATATGGGTCAATGTACATTTTGGATTAATATGACACACTAACAGTAGTCCTCCAATGCAGGTGCACATATGCATAAAAAGAACACTAAATTACTTCCATTTGCTGGCTGGCAGCAGTCCAAAATACAGCCCATTTCCCAATTTCCAAACATTTTCCTTCTTACAGATGCAGAAATAAAATGACATTGCTGACACTGTTCATAGCCACAGGAAATTTAAAAAAAACAAAAAACCCTTAGGCTGCCAGGCACAGCAAATTAAGATGTTGCCCATAGCATTACTTGTTTGGTATTGCTGCATACCAAAAGTTGGGTGCAAAGAGCTAGTATTAGGTTAAAATAAGCATGCTCATAATTATGTGGTCCATACCTTTTGACCTTAGTCAAACCTCAGAACAGCCCTCTGTGACTCCTGCTGAGGGGTCTTCAAACCTTTGTGCTGATCATGGGACAGCCAACTTCTAACCTGTGCTGCCACTGCTCACTACAATAGTTGTTCCATGTACAAAAGCACTACCCACCATAATCTGGCACTATAACGATCCATATACATGCCCTCTTTTGACATTTAAGACTTTTTCTGCTCTCAGTGACAAAAGAACTGACCTACACATCTCTATAAGGAGAGGCAGTGAGACCTATCAAGTAAAGCAGTAATGCCTAACGTACAGAGCACTAGACTGTGCCAACCAGGACCTGGTTTTCTATTTGTAGCTCTGTCATGGCCTGTTGGATGACCTCATACAAAACCATTTTACTTTCCTATGCCTCCATTTCCTCCTCCAAAATTGGGATAATGACATTTATATCATCCTGAAAATGCATAAAGTCACTAAGTTTTGGATTAAGAATATTTTTTTAGAACACTTACAATACTACTTCTTAAAACTTACATTCTTGAGCAACCTTTGGCAGCCACAATGTTGAAGACAGGGAAAGTGTATATGATAAACCGCAGCTCTTTGTGTGGGAGAAATGAATACAAGAAAATAAAACCCAGTGTTGGCAAAAGTAATACCCGAGTCCTTTTGTCGGTTGCACCTAGAGGTACAAATATAACGCTACATCCCAAAGCACGAGGTAGGGCTGAATAGAAGTACCACAAGAAGGGGGAAGTCTTCGAGATAAAAAAGAAGTTAAGGACACTTTCATGATAAGAAAAGGTCTGTTGAAGATCACTTTATCTGTCAAGAGATTCTACAATAATTGTACAAGCATTCAATATGCTTGATTTTATCAAGTATTCCAAGCAATTAATATATTCAGCTTGTAAATAAACTTGGTAAACTAATTGATAGGGTGTTTTTTTCCAGTATTTTATTAAAATTTTGCCATTTTATAGCCAGCTAAGAAGCTGGATGAAAACAGGAAAAAAATATAAAGAAGTATTTCTGACTCCCCTCCCCCCACATATTCACACAATATTTTGAAGCATTTTAGTATTTTTTTAAACCAGCTTTCTATTTAAAGACATTAGCCTTATGACACAAGAGGTAAGATCAAGTGGTCCATCAATAAATCATTTTATATACTGGGGTTCTTCATTCCCCTCAGGTGTTTAGATACCACAACAATGAGCACTGTATGAAAGCCTACAGAGCAGCATAGGTACGTATCGCTGGATCATTATGTGTAAGTGCATATTAAAATGAGATTTCAAGAGGGAGCCTGAATGTAAAAACCTTTGAAAATAAATTTTATAAAAAATAAACAAGTATAAATATGATAAACTTAATGTGAACTTAATGTAATCCCCATCCCTCCTCACATATTCGTGAAATTACAACTTCCCTTCTTCCCCAACCTACACAAGATGCCCTATGACCCGCTTGCCTTTTTCCCCACTGTCAGAGATACAATGAGAATTAAGAAATGGCTAGCAAGTCAAATTATTGCCAAGAAGGCAGATAGGCTCAAGAGGACAGCAAGCTAAAATGCACTTCTGTAAAACAAATTCTCTCTCCAAGATTAGAGGCACTGACAAAGACAGGAGAGGCCAAGGAGTACTTCAGACTTGACCTTCAACAGTCAAAACAGAAAAGAGGCAAATTTTTATAAAAGCATAAGCAACAAGGAGGTGAATGGTAAATTGAGTATATAGCACCAAGGCTTTTGTCTACTTAAAAACACCTGTAAGAATTTAAGCACACAAATGTTGGTCCACTGGTGCTATCAGACAGCAGAAGGCAGCTCTAGAGGACACAGGGCACAGATGTTCTTTTGTCACCAAGTCATTTAATAGTACCTGTTATTTAGATTACAGTTTCATCTTTGCTACCACCACTGCACTGATGGGGAATTATGGATTCCATATTTTGCCAATGCAGATGTAGCCCAAGGCCAGAACAACAGGAAACTGAGAACAACACACAACAAAGAGGGACATATAAAGCACCAAAAAGTATGAGGAACATGTGAAGAGGATGAAGAAAAGGCTTGATCCTGTGCTTATTGAATTCACTAAAGTATGGTGGGCACAAAGACTATGTCAGCAGAGAAACAGAAGCTGGAATTAGGCCTCACCTAGTAAATTTCAACAGAATGTTATCACTTAAGCCAAACATTCAACCATGCCTTAGCCAAGTCTCATGAATAAATGGAGCAAATATTTTTCTTGACTGACACTATGTCTTAATTTTCCTATATGGATTTGAAAGGATACTCCCCAGCTGGAACTTTTGTTTAAAATTGTATTATACCAAAGCACTTTCCCTTCAGGCCACAGAAGCTGTCCCCAGAAAACAGAGTCCACAGCAATCGTTAGTCCTAAAAAAATTAAAGAAATATACATGACTAAAGTGTTGTTTAATACAAAACTTCTAAGTCAACCTGCACATTAATCTAACGATGTGAACAGACAAACACATTATAATAAGGATGACACACATACAACCCCCAGGCTAGATCTGGCCCACAGAGGTGTATCATCTCACCCTAGGGGCTTCTTGCTACAGCTGCCAGGGCCAGCACCAGTAGCAAAGGAGCTAAAACCACTTCCACTTCCTGGGAGTGTATCTCTGGAAGTGAAAAAAAGACAGCACACTCCAGTGCAGTCACAGGGCTGGGGTGGCCAATCAGCTAATTGGCAGGCCTAGCTCTGGGAACACAGCAGTTGGTGGTGTCAGCCCTGGGATCACACCAGAGCAGGTTCATCACTCTGGTGTGGTCTCAGGGCTGAAACCACAAATCAACTGATTGGCAGAACCCTACTGGAGTGTCCCAGCTTTCTCCACTTCTACAGATACACCCCTTGGACCCATATCTGGAAGCAGGGAAAGTTGTGGTTCCCTACTTGCAGAGATGTGCCCCTGGCAATCTTCAGAAACCCCAGAGATGGCCAGAGGCACATCTCTGGAAGTGAGGAACATATGACCAGTTGTCCCATAAAATCAATGGGCAGGAAAAGAGGCAACGCGTGTTTCACCCAATGAAGTGGATCGGCTGTGCCAATTAACACATCCTGGCATAGCTGATCCACTTAATTTGATGATGTCCATTTCTAACCTACTTTTCTTCCTTTTCCTTTCTTTTTCATCCTCCTGGTAAAGACAATGAACTGATAGGAGAAGACTCAGAGGGTGTGGGCACCTTCTATGTGTGAACAAGTTGAGACTGCTTCATTCCAACTTTAACCCTGGATGAAGGAGCATTGAAGTTGGAGCAGTGGGTTTTCACATGAAATAGTGAGAACATACCAGCTGCTGCTTTTCTGAAATGTCCCCCTTTTGAAAAGACTCAAAATATTTGTAAGGATATAAATACAAATGCCTCTGCTGTATAAATGACTTGAGATCCATAGCATTTCCAAATGAACTGATCTAGTAAAAAATCAAAACAATAAGACAATATATGATCCAATGATCCTCTCTCTCCAGCCCCTTGCATATCCATTTCACTACAAGGAACTGTTAGTTTCTTATTTTAGAAGAAATACTCAACTCATTGCACCTTTCCCATGGGTCTTAATTAATATGTTGCACTGACCGCCAAATGCTGCACAGGCATGCAGACCTTCCTCTGGCAGAGCACTTGTGGAAAACCTTTATACATTGAAACACCTGACTGCTTCTACAGGAGACTAAATACTGTTATAAGATCTCTGCTAAATATTATTTCTGCCATTAGAAAATTTCACTATTTTTGCCTTAAAATTAACCTCTGATTATGCAAATACAGGGAATTTATTCTCAAGCACCACTTTTAATTAAGGGAAATTTTACCACGGCTATAGTTTAAATAAAACTAGTCTTCAACAAAATAATTTTAAAAATATATCTATTAAATTCTGTGAAAAAATAAGCACTTACCCAACCAAAACACTCCAGCTAGGATAGCATGGGAAAGCATCTTCAAAATAGAGAGTCTTTTACTTAATAATGTCACCAGAAGCATGAGGCCTAAGAATATACAGAGCTCTGATCTGAAGACAATAATTGCCAATGCTGAGAACCAGATAAAGAGCCCATGTTTTTGTTGTATCCAGAACATAAGTGCCAGCAGAACTGTAGAAAATAGACAAATACACAACATCTGGTATATAGGCAGTCCTTGACTTACATTTTGAGTTACAACATTTCTAAATTGACACCGTTTCGACTTTCTGACGCTTGACCCGATGTGACGCCACACCAGCGAACAAGTTTGCTGTGTTGCCCATCTCCCTGGAGAACATCTGTCCAAACAGACCTCCATCTGACCTCCTTGGACACTTTCTTTAAGAAAGCAGACAAGACTCCAGGAAACCTTCAGCCAAGACTTCTGAGAAGACTCCAGCCAAGGACCCTTTAAAAAGTCCAACCAAGAGCCTTTCAAGAACTCCAGCAGTCACCTCAAAAAAGTCTTTCCAAATCAATATGATTCCTATTTACAATATAAATACATTAAGGTAACTATATTACTCATCCATAATTAACTGAATACAAAATTCTGGGTTATTTTTGGTGAAAACAGACTATCAGGCCTTGGTTCAGGAACCAATCCCCCATTTACAAGATTGTTCCCCATGGGAAAATCAGTTCTGAGTTACGTTTTGACTTAAGACGTGGTTTTCAGGAACCAATTGTGTTGTAAATCCAAGGACCACCTGTACTGGCTCTTTTAAATTCTAATTCAGGTAGCTTCTTCATTCTCCATTTCTAACCCTTATGCGTACTTCTAATC